AAAAATATCAAGGAGGGGAGCACCTTCTGTTAGCCTATTAACTGTTTACAACTGATAAGTATTCACATACTGGTTATTGTTAGGTTTAATTCATTGTGTTGTGTTCATTTTTCCCTTGTCTTTTTTGGTCGATGCCTACCTACTTACCTACAATATATCTATGTGAATAAATAAACAAGGTTAAAGGGGAAGGAAAAAACATTTAGCGGTCATTTGTATACACGCTGACACAAACTGTAGAATACAAAAGAGAAGAATGATAAATGTAATAACAGCATCAGTAGATTTTGTAAAAAGTAACGTGGCAGCATAATTAGTTCGCTGTATACAAAACCCAAAAAAAAGAGGAAATACACAAAATAGTTTGTGAATAGATAAAATCGAAGTAGCAGTGAACTGTCCTTAGATAACACACTCTATACCACCATATTTTCTTGGTTGTCTTCAATAGCAAAATGGTATAACGAGTGGAGAAAAAACAAAAAAAAACACTGGTCGAAATGAAGAAAAGCATTGATTATTTTGTAATTTTAAAAACAAAACAATGAATCAGTTATTTTCGGGAATATTAAACACTTAGTGTCATGCATCTAGTCTTTTGTGTACTGAAGACTGTTGCATTGTGTCGTCAGTCAAGTTTGCAATGTGACCACCACCATCCCACTGGATGGCTCCACATCACGGTGCACTATCAATGGTTGATATTAGATGGTTGGAGGCAATAGGCACAAAGTCCTCGGCCTGCCTGCCTGCCTCATATCTGCAGTCTTTGAGGAACACTCATCTCCCTTCTGAGATTCGAACCCGTGTCAACCAGTGTGTTGAAGTCAGAGACGTTAGCACTGAGCTATTTTAGCTATTCACGATTTACCTCCTATAGTATTGTATCAGACACTCTAATTGAAAACTAATTAGTGTGTCAGGCGTCTAGCACTGAGTGATACAGGTTTGAATCTTAGAAGGGAAATGAGTTCCTTTAAGATTGCAGGTACGCGCCTTGTTGACTGGTAAGTGCCGACAATTACGAAACCCAGACAGACTAAAGGTTTCCTGTGGCTGATTGCCTCCAACCATCTAATAACAACAATTCTGAGTAATCAAATGCCACGATCAGGTGTTTCATGTCTCCAGCTATGAGAGATACACTTACGGTGTGTGTGTATAGTATTATGGTGTGTGTGTATTATGGTGTGTGTGTGTATAGTATTATCATACCTCACATGATAAATGTGACTCTCAGCCTGGTTTACATGAAAGAGTTATTCCGGGCAAAATGAGTCCAAACTGGAGCGGTTGAACAACAGAAATAAACAGAATCATTCAGAGCCAAGCATAGACATGTTAACCAGTCAGACTTTTTGATAGTATCCTTGACTAAAATGATTAACTATTGGTAGAATAATGCTAATTATCTATATTTGAAAGAATTACACATCTGACCGTTCATCTATATATGTGATTCCTTGGTCTAATCACTAGATTCACAGCTAATGAGTACTGAGTTCGAGCCTTACTCAACCCACTTCCACCTGGGAGCAACTGGATAGTACCACCAGTCCTACAGAATGCATGTAATTCATGGTCTGGTACACCAGAAAAATCTCTTCCAGATAACTGAGTGCAAAAATTAACAGGAGCAAACAAACAACCCATAGGAATGGAAGGAAATAACCATGGTATATTTAAATGAGACCAGAAATTTTAATTAATTCCGCATAATCCATAAGATGTAGAAATGTTAAAACGACCACAATTGTATGTTTCATTTCTAAATTCACAATCCTAAAATTGCAATGAATATATTAGTGTGAACTGGGTTACAAAGGAAGGGAGAAGACAGTGAAGTGTAAAAACTATGCATTTTGAAAATTAAAGAAAGCCATAGTACACTTGATAATTTGACTTCAATCACAAATTTTCCACTAAACTAAACAATAAACAATCAATGACGCAAAGAATTCATTTAGCACCTTAATAATATCAAGTTTCAAGTGTCCAGAGGAAAGTGGGAATTAAGCAGCCATACAACTTGGTGCCATAGAACATCTACTGAGTGAGTTATACCATCATCAAAAGAAAATGGATCATTATAAATAAATTTTTAAAAGAAAATAAACATAATATGAACACACAAGTCAAGACGTACTAAAAACAGGATAGTAACAAGATTTGAACTACTACCCTTAAAATTGACTACGCTGCATCCTGCCGAGTTAGGCATGAGACGACTAAACAACCCCAACTAAAGTTTACGTTTGATTACAGGACTTAGACTCTCGGTTACAGGATACATTAAACATTCAAAGCTATTCCATAAGGTAACTCTAAAAGTTATGCTGCAATCATCTGCGTTGGCGTACTTATTACAAATCATTGGATTTCAATTACCAGTTTTTGTAATGATTCGTTAACAGAAGCCACACATACACTCTAAATACCTTCGATATAATGACAACAAAATTCAGAATTTCAAGAAATACTACTTGCTTGACAAACAAATTGGTAGTTCCAACTTTAAACAAACTTTTCATAACCATAATCTACAAAATCAAGAAAGCACCACAAAATACCTACGAACCTAAATGAAAATGAATTTACACCACATTAACAAGAAAACCAAAATGACTCTAACTTTTTAGCAGTATAAATCAAACTATATGATGTGCACCAAGTAATTAAACAGTGCTAAATTTTGTACTGGACGGGTAACAAACCTACAAAAGAGTGACTACTTATAGCAGATAAGAAAGAAACAGAACAACTAATAGGCAGAATTTTTATGTGTAGTAATCTTAGTGATAATCATATGTGAATTACTTTCCAGCTAATAAACAGGTCATACTTATGAAATTTAGGACATATCTATGATAGACGAGTAAATCTACCCACTGTAAGAGGCTATACACAAATCTAGACAACAGGAGAAGTAGTTTTTCATCCAAAATTCTATCATGATCACGCAGCAGTAGATGATTTCAAAAAACCAATAGTTTCACCAATATTCAACATGGAGTTTAAATATTGGCAAACTGATTCTTGGACGCTAAAATAGCTTGGAAGTATTTCGGATTTCAGAAACTCTTACTAAAGCGTAATTCCACTTTCTTATTTTTAATACTGTACTGTACACTTAAACAAAAGATAGTAAAGGAAACCCGTAAATGTTTATTTCTCAAAAAACATATCAACTGCTTGACAATTTACACTTTTAAACAACATAATCGTCGCTTCCGAGAATTTTAATAGATGGATCCTTTTTAGGAATGATCGATAAAGCTGTCGTAATTCACAAGCAGTGACCAGATACAACGCTACACCACTTTATTAAGGTTCAAAAGCCATCAGGAGAGAGGTTTCAAGCAGTACACTAATGTTGTAAGAATCCCATTGCCAAATAAACATACCTGTTAATAAACTTAGGAAAACTAATGCTACTTAGGTATGTATCTGATAACTTGTTTCGTTACAGGAACTGAATGTGTAAAACTTTAGTAAGCAATCAACTAAAATCCACTGATTACAAATGAAATACCATATTTGAATACTGCAGTAACCGCCAACTAAGCTAAAAAAACAGAGTTAAGTACTATGGTTTAAAGACAATAATATAAACATATAACTGTGTGTATAAACATTTCCTCGAAGTTCCAAAAAGGGTAGGAAACCCAAGGTGAAAAAACTGTATTCACCACTAGTTGAACGCGACTTTTATAAATTTGCTGTCTTAAAAAGGTTGTTTAGAACATTTCTTATGACAAGCAATAACAATTCTTACAGCATTTTGTTGGTGAAGTAATGAAATTCCTTATTTGAACTGATATACTGAAAGCTCAATACTTGATATGTGAGCTTTATACGTTAGGATTAGTGTAACAAAATAATAAGTATAAAAGTGAATGGACTTTTCATGTACTAGCTAAATAGTTAACAAAACTACAATACGGCGGTTGGTGTTCTCCATTAGTTCCACGACAACAGGAGCACACACACAACGCAAACTGAATAGATGGTTAAGTATAAATTATATGCGCAGCTTTGAATGGACATGATACCTGATTTCTAGATAAAATACTGTGATCAGTTGCATGAAAATGTCTTTCAGTTATCAATAAATTCTGGTGTTCACCAGAAAACAATGAAGTATTATTACAGTGTGTTATAAGTCCCAAATAACACTTTATTTTTATTTGCCTCTAAATGCCCAACCCTATAAGTTTTAAATTTAACGAAATGAGGAAGTTTAAGTCATCACAATTTGAAATTATCGTACTTCGTAATGAATATCAGTATTTATGGTCATTAGAGAGTGGTGAAAAAAATGATTTTATTATTATTAAAAGCTGCTACTCACACGACAGAAGACAAACGGAAACCTTACATAAAGGTGTTTTTTACTTCTTAATTTTCACCATCAGTCTCTTTGCGCTTCTGTCACAACTAAACAAAGCCGAACGCACCCGATTCATTGAAAACTGACAGAGAATAAGACATAATTATATCAGCATCTGAAGAAATTTGTTTGATTTACATACCACCAACAGTAAGAGAAACCTTGAAGCTTATATAAACGAATATTGAAGATGACCACACCCATGGTTTCATGACAAAAATGAATAAGCATTCAGTGAATGCAAACTCAAGATTACTTAAATCCAAGTAAGGTAGTTATGGGGGATATTGAGCAGTAAACTGCTCATTACCGCCATTTCTTATACCAATAAAATGAATATATGACGCAAAAGTCATTATGTAAGCATCTAACAATAAATCTCAGAATACAAGATAAGAAATGGAAAATGGAATGGGAAAATTCAAACCTCATTAACTAACTACAAATCACACATCATAAGCTATTAAACAGCAACGAATTCTCAAAAATAAAAGTTAATCCAAGAATATCTTTCTTAAAAACTTGCTGGAAAACATTTGAATGGAAAAGAATAAATTTCTCAATAATAAATAAGGTTATAGGAAAAGTGATAAGCTTTATTGTTTCTTACTTGTGACAATACGATCAACTGTCGGTAGCTTTGGCTCCGATCGCATCATTAGTATGAGTTAAAATATTTGTGAAATTCCGTTGAAATTAAAGAGAAGCAATCAGTCACAGAACAGAAATAATGAGCGATAAGTGCGCCGAGTTTCGTAATTATCGCGAAAACTGAAATGGCCTTCAAAGTTATCCTTTAAAACAATTCCTAAAAAGTCCACTATCCAATATCTTTACGAGAAGCTTCAATAAGGATGCTCATTTTTTAGTGAAATCCTGCCAGTGTCTAGGAATGGTTATAGTTCTTTAGGGTGTTTCAGTGCAGAAGATTTATCCCCACTTGTGGCATAGCTGAGATCTAGGTAGTAAGATTGGCGTCAGTTTATTTGGACTGTTGTGCGCTGTTTATAAAATCAGTCATTTTTCTCCCAATAGTTCTCTAAATTAATGGAGAAAAATCTCGGACGTGGTATTAAAAGGTTAGAATGGAAATCAAGATGAGCTGACAGGATCAAAAATATATATGCAAGACAGATGAGATAAAGAAATGGAAAGACAAGGAGTAGAAAAATAGTTAGGTAGGGAATTAGGCAGATTTTCAAAACATAAGGCGTCCGTATTACCAGTGCTGTCTTGCAGAACTAGACTGCTCCCCCGACGGATGTCCACAGACTGTTCCCTCTAGGTTACTCATCTAGCCTTCTCTTGAAACTATCCGTAACAGCCATGTCAAACGACAATGAGTCCTCCAAATGGCAGAATCTAAGGAGCTGAATGATACGCATGGTATCTCCATCTAGTAGGCAATGCATTTCTAGTGCCTATGGGAGTACCTAAGTTGCCTTCTGATTACATACCTCTATTTGGAAAGTTTGGATTGTGCAGTGTTTTAAGGGCCAGTTATTAGGCCATCCTTCGTTCTGCGATACTGGAGAACATTTACTCATTGTTAGGAGATGGCCGTTATAGGACCGGTTCTAAAGTTTTAAGTGGGCTTCTCCAGATTGGAGATTGGCACCTCTCCTCCAGTTTTGTGAAGTTCGAGGCATGCGTATTCATATGTGTCGGACACTGGCTTGAACAACACGGGTGTCAGTGCGAACTGTTGAGTCAATCGTAGTAGTGTTAGCAGTAACTATGTAGATGGCGATTTTGCACAACTTTTTGTCATGAGCAGTTTGAACCTTGTTTATATGTACCCTTCATGAAGGTTTCCATTCTGGAGGCCGTTGGTCTTCAACTCCCGCTCAGGAGAGATTTAGAGAAGAACTTTCAGAACATGGAGTTAAGTCTATCGTTAGGCCTAGGTATTATATATAAGCTGGATTATTCTGATCTCAGCATACTGTCCAACCATTCCTATCTACAGGAAAGTTTGCCGCACTAAGCGCTGATGAAGAACATGTTTCCTTATCTTGTTTTCCTTTACATGATCGGCTAGCAAGGCATTCATTACCTCTTATATTCCTGACAGTGGCGCCAGTGGCATTTGCTGTTTATAAATAGGAGATAAGTTAGCACTCTTATACTGCTTCACAAGCAGCTAGACTTCCAGAGAGTGGTGAAACAATCTACCGAGTGAAAAACTGGGCACTACTGCACTCTAGAGATATGGTGGTCAAGAGTAGTCAAATTCAGAAGATTATTCTCAATGGCTTCTCCAGAAGTATAGTAAGGTATCGTTCCTTTCTTTCTCATTCAAATGTCAGTCTTTCGCACCAATGCAAGCATTGGGTATTTCTAAATTTCTAGGACATTCTCCGCGAAAGACTCCAATAATACACTCGGTGAGTGGTGTATTTTCTCTGATTCTTGAATCAATAAAGCGTCTTGGGGTTGGCTAGGCTAGCTTGAATGTCCTCATGTCTCCTCGAACTGAAATGATTTCTTAGGGCTAAGTGTTTGAGAGGTTCCTTTTTCTAAAGTTTTCGCTTGGTCTTATAAAAACTTTCCGTTCATCCTCTACTGATTTGCATTATTGTCATCACAGGAACGCAACTACTGAATGCGTGGCTGATGATACGCTTCATGCTTATCAGCCGTTAACGAATGATACTCTTGTGGGGTGTGCTGTTGACAAAATTTGTTAGCGGTATATAATAGACGCAGATTGATAGCAAGCAGCTAAAGTTCCAAACAACATTTTAATTAAATGGCTACAGAAGCTGAAGTGCTTATTCCTCAAATCTGAATTTAACTTAATTTTTGGTCAGAAAACTGTTTCACGGACAACTTTGTGTCTGAAAGTTTAACCACCCGAAAATCGACAACCAATAAGGACAGTTTATTATCCAATGACTCAGCCGGCTAAAAGTACATTATTTCGGTAGACTTTTCTCTATAAAAAGTTTGTTATCAAGAACCTTATCTTCTGTTGTACTCCTTTATGCAGAACGCTCGCAGCGCAACTTTCCTATTTGTGTTAAACTGACACTTCCAGGTCGAAAACCGTTGCTACTCTATCCGTAGTGAACACTGTGGGTTGCGTTTTGAATTCCGAATGGGCAGATGGTCGCTCGCGAAGAAGGCGACCGAGCAAGATGTATTCGCTTCCCGCCTCCAGACTTTTCGTTTTCATTAGCTGCGCTAGCAACGGCAGTCATGAAAGTTTGGAAAAGAACTCGTCTGAGGCTCTGTTATATATGTAGATTTGTCCACAATGCTTGGTGATATTGTACCGCAGTTAACATGTGGAATGTTTCAAGCAATTATTGCTTTTGTCTTACCCGGCGTGTAGCCTATCGAAACATTCTTCTGACCAAAACACCCAATGTTGTTTAAAACCACTCAATATGTAGAACCTATGGGACTCAAGCAGGCCAGATGGGGACATTTCTTGAACAAATTAAACCTCATTTTCTTGTTGGACTCAACCAGAAATAATGCTCAAGATATGTGTTCCCACGATTTTCTAACTCCTAATCTGGTACCTTCTAACCTGGGGCTAGGAGTTTCTTCAAACCGTCCAACATATTATAAGTACAAAGTGATAATTATGGATGTTCAAGAACGAATTCGCGAACTGCAGTGTAGGGAGGAAAAAGAGATACGCAGTCACAGCACATCACAGTATCCATTATGAGTTCCGCGAAAATAAAGTTGTTCTTAGTGTGTCTCCATCAGCATAGCTGACTTATCGTTGGTAGTGATATGGTTGACGCCTGAGTGGACTCACTGCTTGCTAGTGTTGGTGGATATTGAGCAAAGTTCAGCAATAGAGTCTCAAAGGATGCAAACGCACGAGTGACCTTCAGCAGACCAATCATAAAAGTGAGTGACTTTTGCCTAAAAAATGATTTATACTTATGAGGAAATACATGGAAACACGTTAAACGGGTTATCTTTCTCTGACATGACGTAAAAATACGTCCTAGTTATAATGAGGAGTATCAGTTGCTAAGTTAGACTAGTTTCTGTACGTGTATTCACCAAGGTGAATAAAGATAGGCTGTTTTTGTGAATCGGTTCTCTCTTATCCAGCTGTGCAGTCTTCCTTGGCAATGGATAAAGACACACACGACCTTATGGAGAGGCTGAGCACTTCAAGGTCACTTATGCATATTGTGATTGGTGGGTTTTCCTTTGCGTAAACGCTGCGGCTAATACGTAGCAGACGTTACTAAGGCGGGCTTTAAAATGATAATAATAAAAACTGAATAAACATTACATTTTTCACCCTAATGGGACAAGTTAACACATGTAAAATTTTACAGATGTGGCATGTATTGGATCCATTAACAAAAAGAATATTGGTCTGTGACTTAATAAAAGAGGTATAAAGTTTGAAGATTTAGTCTTTTTCAGCTGGTTGTAACGGACGGATAGGAGAGGCAGTTGTGTAATATTTACATTTTGCAGAAGACAAACTGTGAAGGATAAATCGGAAGTTCTACAATTCTTCAAATGTGTCATAGAATATATGTATTAATCTTACCGATTCTACTATTGTTCCCTCACTTATTCACATATTCATTGTGGCTAAGATAAGGAACTGTTCACCTGAGGTAAGATTAATTCACCCGATATGTATACATCTCTAGAGGTGATCGAAGGAATACAGTCTCGATCATTGCATGGAAAGATCATAACCAGTTTCTTTTGAAGGATCGGGTGGTGCTGGAAGCTGTAAAGACGGGTCGTGTCATGTGAGGGAAACTGATCCACATATTGTGGATTAGTGGACTTCAATTTGACTATGATGTAGCCATAAAAAATCTACAACTGTGATTTTTTCACTGAATTGTTATAAACCCTTTTTAATGTGAAAATGTACTGCTTGACTGTTGTTCTTTTGTAAATATATGCATTTGTGTCGACTACTTGTATCTCTCTTATTTATCATTTCGATGACATTGCATAGTTAACGAAATTGACAGGCAATGTTGCAATACTTGTGTGAAATGCGTCATAGTCGTAACCGTTATTATTTCCTCAGTGCGTCATCAAGCCTCACATGAAATGTTTCAGTTGCATTTAATCCGGTTGTGGATAGTATAAGTATGCATCAGTGTTAAGAAGAAAAGAGCGTCAAACACGAGTTTGTATTGTAATAACGAAATGTAGTGACCACTTTGTAAAGTACTGTCAAAGTCGTACACCGTTATTAGTCCTCATGTACGTATAAACGTTAAGTTTTACTAAATCCGACTACGTAAAAGGTAACCTTTCATCAGGACTACCGAAAAATTATACGTTGAGATTATGTTTGTTATGCGATCACTACATATGCATAATAACACCGAAAATAGCGTATTATAAGTATATCCTATTAAAGATAATTATCCTAGTATTCTTATACTGGGCAAATTATCACTCTTTCGAAGTAAATCATTACGCATTCCAAAAATAGCTATATCAATATTCCTTCGACAAGCAAAACGAAGTAGTAGTACAAGAATACTGTCAAAACTTTTCGGAAATATTTATTTTAATGAACGATTTCATAACATCAGAACGATTCCAACGTTAACACGAAAATTCTTCAATTGCACTTCATCAAAGCTCCCAAATCAAGTGAACCACTACAAGTATAACCTGAAAACCAACAACAGTGATAATTGTCAGCAAATAAATACAAAGCAAAGGACATCTTAGTAAAAACTTTGTTTCTTCTGTGTTATGTTCCGAATAAATCAACTAACACTCCTTAATAGCTGTAAATTCTTCTGACATTTATCCAGTTTTCAGAA